GTGTTTTGAAGTGCATGTAGATTTAATATTATAATCAATTAAATCAATATCCAATTTGGGATTCAATTTGACGTACCCCATTTTTGACATCTCCGTGAAAGATTTAACAACCTCAGCTGTGTGGAAAACAAATTGAGGCAACCATACCAAGTAACTGGGCAAAAGCAAGTGCAGCCACCATTCTAGGTACTCCTTCTATAGCAGCAAGATGTTTGAAAGAAATTGGCCTTTCTCTTTCCCCACGAGAGCACAGTTGAGACAAATTGTGCATCATGCTGTGCTTGCTCATGGGGGTGAATTGAAGACCGCGAATGACCTCCTCCTGATATGGGGATGGAGGGTCCTCCCTAACAGAGTCAGCATCAGCGGACACCCCTGGTGGTTGTGGATCTGGAGTTGGTGCTGGTGGTGGAGATGATGACACCGCTGTTGATGATGTTTGATTAGCTGGGGCACGTGAAGTCGAGCAAGATGGCGAGAAAACGCTTGGTTGGTTCTGTTATTACGATTTGAGGCAATTTTAGCCGAGAAATTTTGCCGCGGATTCCACCTTTTCCTTTTCTCCGTATTTGATATCTTGATAGATTTGACTTCGGTCTCACCTTGTTAACCACCACTGTTTCCACTAACTCAGCTGGGGTGTTTTGAAGTGCATGCAGATTTAATATTATAAACAATTAAATCAATATCCATTTTGGGAACTATAACAGTAAAGAAGCCTGGGCCTTTTTACTCGCAGAACGTGTAATCCGTCGTTGGACTGCTGGCAACTCACATGGGTCATCACGTGTACCTGCGCTGTCTCCTGGCTTCTTTGGTCCAGGAAATTGCACAGCACCTGGGCTTAACCCAGACCCAAGTGTTGGGCCGGCATATATGGTTCAGGAAATTGCACAGCACCTGGGCATAGCCCAGACCCAAGTGTTGGGCCGGCATATGGTCCAGGAGATGGAACAGGAGATTGCTGAGGAGAAGGACCAGCTGGCCCAGGAGACGGCACGACAAATGGGTTGTCTGCACCTTCGGTGAAGGGGATCAGTCCAAAAGTCTGCAATATTTTATTTACATTTCAATTAAAATTGCTCCGCAACTGTGCAAAAGCAACTCACTGCAGTTTCGGGATCTTCTTGATCTGCTTGGTCATTGCGCATCGGAAAAGCAACTGTCTCGGTAATCGTAATTGCATTGGCAGCTATGGCAGCTAATCCAATAACAGAGAAATGGAAATGTTTTGTAAAAGCTAATTATGCCATAAATATAAAAATACATTTCTTCTTCTCCAAAAGCATCTTTCTAAATTCACTCTCCCATAGTCGTCCATCTTTATCAGCAGTAGCTATGTCAAGTTCTCCGTACGATTGGGCTTGATCCAATTTGACGTACCCCATCTCAACAGAGCAGAAAGAGGCCCCCAGCCAGACCATGAGGACCAGGGGTTGCGTCCTGAAAGTGGACAAGGAGATCGGCTTGAGGAGCCTTCAGATGCGTCGGATCAAGCAGAAGTAAAGAAACCAGAAGTACAATTGAAGAGACAAACAAAAACACTCGCACCGCATGTTCATTTTGATAATTATTACATGAAAAGGATTATCCTAAAAAGAAGGTGTCTTTTGCAATGAAAACAGAGCCAACAAAGAATTATATGATCTTATTGATTTGTCAATTTGAATTGTGTTAAGGTAATTAACTTTAAACTATTATTGCATCACACTTTTTAATAATCTGTAGAAGTTTAATGTACAATTTTCAATCAAGATTTTTTACAAGTAGAGGAAAACAAGCGAGGAAAATTTTATTATTCAGTTACTCTTAGAAACCTTGGGTTTTCCGAGCCCTGCCTTTACTTGTCGAATTCGGGCCTCTCGATTTCATGGTCGAACGTTGGCGTAACCGTAATATCAATTTCTCCGTACGACTGGGCCTGATTCAATTTGATGTAACCCATTTTTGACATCTCCGTAAAAGATTTAACAACCTCAGCTGTGTGGAAAACAAATTGAGGCAACCATACCAAGTAACTGGGCAAAAGCAAGTGCAGCAACCTTTCTAGATACTCCTTCTACAGCAGCAAGATGTTTGAAAGAAATTGGCATTTCTCTTTCCCCACGAGAGCACAGTTGAGACAAATTGTGCATCATGCTGTGCTTGCTCATGGGGGTGAATTGAAGACCGCGAATGACCTGCTCCTGATATGGGGATGGAGGGTCCTCCCTAACAGAGTCAGCGTTAGCAGACACCCCTGGTGGTTGTGGATCTGGTGGTGGAGTTGGTGCTGGTGGTGGAGCTGATGACACCGCTGTTGATGATGTTTGATTAGCTGGGGCAGGTGTAGTCGGTGAATTGAAGACCGCGAATGACCTCCTCCTGATATGGGGATGGAGGGTCCTCCCTAACAGAGTCAGCGTCAGCGGACACCCCTGGTGGTTGTGGATCTGGTGGTGGAGTTGGTGCTGGTGGTGGAGATGATGACACCGCTGTTGATGATGTTTGATTAGCTGGGGCAGGTGAAGTCGAGCAAGATGGCGAGAAAACGCTTGATTGGTTCTGTTATTACGATTTGAGGCAATTTTAGCCGAGAAATTTTGCCACGGTTTCCACCTTTTCCTTTTCTCCGTATTTGATATCTTGATAGATTTGACTTCGGTCTCACCTTGTTAACCACCACTGTTTCCACTAACTCAGCTGGGGTGTTTTGAAGTGCATGTAGATTTAATATTATAATCAATTAAATCAATATCCAATTTGGGATTCAATTTGACGTACCCCATTTTTGACATCTCCGTGAAAGATTTAACAACCTCAGCTGTGTGGAAAACAAATTGAGGCAACCATACCAAGTAACTGGGCAAAAGCAAGTGCAGCCACCATTCTAGGTACTCCTTCTATAGCAGCAAGATGTTTGAAAGAAATTGGCCTTTCTCTTTCCCCACGAGAGCACAGTTGAGACAAATTGTGCATCATGCTGTGCTTGCTCATGGGGGTGAATTGAAGACCGCGAATGACCTCCTCCTGATATGGGGATGGAGGGTCCTCCCTAACAGAGTCAGCATCAGCGGACACCCCTGGTGGTTGTGGATCTGGAGTTGGTGCTGGTGGTGGAGATGATGACACCGCTGTTGATGATGTTTGATTAGCTGGGGCACGTGAAGTCGAGCAAGATGGCGAGAAAACGCTTGGTTGGTTCTGTTATTACGATTTGAGGCAATTTTAGCCGAGAAATTTTGCCGCGGATTCCACCTTTTCCTTTTCTCCGTATTTGATATCTTGATAGATTTGACTTCGGTCTCACCTTGTTAACCACCACTGTTTCCACTAACTCAGCTGGGGTGTTTTGAAGTGCATGCAGATTTAATATTATAAACAATTAAATCAATATCCATTTTGGGAACTATAACAGTAAAGAAGCCTGGGCCTTTTTACTCGCAGAACGTGTAATCCGTCGTTGGACTGCTGGCAACTCACATGGGTCATCACGTGTACCTGCGCTGTCTCCTGGCTTCTTTGGTCCAGGAAATTGCACAGCACCTGGGCTTAACCCAGACCCAAGTGTTGGGCCGGCATATATGGTTCAGGAAATTGCACAGCACCTGGGCATAGCCCAGACCCAAGTGTTGGGCCGGCATATGGTCCAGGAGATGGAACAGGAGATTGCTGAGGAGAAGGACCAGCTGGCCCAGGAGACGGCACGACAAATGGGTTGTCTGCACCTTCGGTGAAGGGGATCAGTCCAAAAGTCTGCAATATTTTATTTACATTTCAATTAAAATTGCTCCGCAACTGTGCAAAAGCAACTCACTGCAGTTTCGGGATCTTCTTGATCTGCTTGGTCATTGCGCATCGGAAAAGCAACTGTCTCGGTAATCGTAATTGCATTGGCAGCTATGGCAGCTAATCCAATAACAGAGAAATGGAAATGTTTTGTAAAAGCTAATTATGCCATAAATATAAAAATACATTTCTTCTTCTCCAAAAGCATCTTTCTAAATTCACTCTCCCATAGTCGTCCATCTTTATCAGCAGTAGCTATGTCAAGTTCTCCGTACGATTGGGCTTGATCCAATTTGACGTACCCCATCTCAACAGAGCAGAAAGAGGCCCCCAGCCAGACCATGAGGACCAGGGGTTGCGTCCTGAAAGTGGACAAGGAGATCGGCTTGAGGAGCCTTCAGATGCGTCGGATCAAGCAGAAGTAAAGAAACCAGAAGTACAATTGAAGAGACAAACAAAAACACTCGCACCGCATGTTCATTTTGATAATTATTACATGAAAAGGATTATCCTAAAAAGAAGGTGTCTTTTGCAATGAAAACAGAGCCAACAAAGAATTATATGATCTTATTGATTTGTCAATTTGAATTGTGTTAAGGTAATTAACTTTAAACTATTATTGCATCACACTTTTTAATAATCTGTAGAAGTTTAATGTACAATTTTCAATCAAGATTTTTTACAAGTAGAGGAAAACAAGCGAGGAAAATTTTATTATTCAGTTACTCTTAGAAACCTTGGGTTTTCCGAGCCCTGCCTTTACTTGTCGAATTCGGGCCTCTCGATTTCATGGTCGAACGTTGGCGTAACCGTAATATCAATTTCTCCGTACGACTGGGCCTGATTCAATTTGATGTAACCCATTTTTGACATCTCCGTAAAAGATTTAACAACCTCAGCTGTGTGGAAAACAAATTGAGGCAACCATACCAAGTAACTGGGCAAAAGCAAGTGCAGCAACCTTTCTAGATACTCCTTCTACAGCAGCAAGATGTTTGAAAGAAATTGGCATTTCTCTTTCCCCACGAGAGCACAGTTGAGACAAATTGTGCATCATGCTGTGCTTGCTCATGGGGGTGAATTGAAGACCGCGAATGACCTGCTCCTGATATGGGGATGGAGGGTCCTCCCTAACAGAGTCAGCGTTAGCAGACACCCCTGGTGGTTGTGGATCTGGTGGTGGAGTTGGTGCTGGTGGTGGAGCTGATGACACCGCTGTTGATGATGTTTGATTAGCTGGGGCAGGTGTAGTCGGTGAATTGAAGACCGCGAATGACCTCCTCCTGATATGGGGATGGAGGGTCCTCCCTAACAGAGTCAGCGTCAGCGGACACCCCTGGTGGTTGTGGATCTGGTGGTGGAGTTGGTGCTGGTGGTGGAGATGATGACACCGCTGTTGATGATGTTTGATTAGCTGGGGCAGGTGAAGTCGAGCAAGATGGCGAGAAAACGCTTGATTGGTTCTGTTATTACGATTTGAGGCAATTTTAGCCGAGAAATTTTGCCACGGTTTCCACCTTTTCCTTTTCTCCGTATTTGATATCTTGATAGATTTGACTTCGGTCTCACCTTGTTAACCACCACTGTTTCCACTAACTCAGCTGGGGTGTTTTGAAGTGCATGTAGATTTAATATTATAATCAATTAAATCAATATCCAATTTGGGATTCAATTTGACGTACCCCATTTTTGACATCTCCGTGAAAGATTTAACAACCTCAGCTGTGTGGAAAACAAATTGAGGCAACCATACCAAGTAACTGGGCAAAAGCAAGTGCAGCCACCATTCTAGGTACTCCTTCTATAGCAGCAAGATGTTTGAAAGAAATTGGCCTTTCTCTTTCCCCACGAGAGCACAGTTGAGACAAATTGTGCATCATGCTGTGCTTGCTCATGGGGGTGAATTGAAGACCGCGAATGACCTCCTCCTGATATGGGGATGGAGGGTCCTCCCTAACAGAGTCAGCATCAGCGGACACCCCTGGTGGTTGTGGATCTGGAGTTGGTGCTGGTGGTGGAGATGATGACACCGCTGTTGATGATGTTTGATTAGCTGGGGCACGTGAAGTCGAGCAAGATGGCGAGAAAACGCTTGGTTGGTTCTGTTATTACGATTTGAGGCAATTTTAGCCGAGAAATTTTGCCGCGGATTCCACCTTTTCCTTTTCTCCGTATTTGATATCTTGATAGATTTGACTTCGGTCTCACCTTGTTAACCACCACTGTTTCCACTAACTCAGCTGGGGTGTTTTGAAGTGCATGCAGATTTAATATTATAAACAATTAAATCAATATCCATTTTGGGAACTATAACAGTAAAGAAGCCTGGGCCTTTTTACTCGCAGAACGTGTAATCCGTCGTTGGACTGCTGGCAACTCACATGGGTCATCACGTGTACCTGCGCTGTCTCCTGGCTTCTTTGGTCCAGGAAATTGCACAGCACCTGGGCTTAACCCAGACCCAAGTGTTGGGCCGGCATATATGGTTCAGGAAATTGCACAGCACCTGGGCATAGCCCAGACCCAAGTGTTGGGCCGGCATATGGTCCAGGAGATGGAACAGGAGATTGCTGAGGAGAAGGACCAGCTGGCCCAGGAGACGGCACGACAAATGGGTTGTCTGCACCTTCGGTGAAGGGGATCAGTCCAAAAGTCTGCAATATTTTATTTACATTTCAATTAAAATTGCTCCGCAACTGTGCAAAAGCAACTCACTGCAGTTTCGGGATCTTCTTGATCTGCTTGGTCATTGTGCATCGGAAAAGCAACTGTCTCGGTAATCGTAATTGCACTGGCAGCTAATCCAATAACAGAGAAATGGAAATGTTTTGTAAAAGCCAATTATGCCAAAAATATATAAAAACATTTCTTCTTCTCCAAAAGCATCTTTCTAAATTCACTCTCCCATAGTCGTCCATCTTTATTAGCAGTGGCTATGAGCTCACAAAAGTGATTGACTGTTGTTTCAGCTGTGGACCTGTTCGATCAAAAACAGAAGTGCTCATTTATTAAGGAGTTACCATGGGTGATAAGTAGAAAATACATTTAATTAAATAAACTCTTAATTTTCTCCCTGTCTCTGTCTCATGGCTGTGTTAACACTCTCCAAGAAATTGGCTGAGTCTTCTATCAATAAAACATTAAAATATTCATATTTAATATATAATTTTTTCACTGCCAGATCACTTTTACTATGCAGTCTGTTGGCAGATCTTTGCAACACTTCTAAAAATCCCCAACTGAAAGTGAAAATAGTAAATATTCTTATACTGTTGAATCGAATGGTTGCGATCTGCTCATCCAAGGCGCTCTTTGATGAAACACCTACGTTGGTAGCAAACAGCTGGGTCAACATGTCTCTGTAAAGATCAAATTATATTCATTTATTGATGGTCTCAAAGATTTATTTAAAAAATACACCCCCATGACTCTGGTAACATTTATTTCTTGGTGGTAATTGCTGAGTCTGACGAGGTTTGCCCTCTTCCAACCCAGACTTAAATTCCAGAGCATGTCATGGTATCCTGAATAGGGTTCTGGAAAATCAAGGTGTAGCCATTATAGCTTGTTTTACTGGAAAAGTGTAAATAAATCTGATTTGATCAAAATAATTTATTTGCGTTCTTCTTTAGGGAACCGTATTGTTACGGAGCTTTTGGCTTATAAAGTAGGACGTAGCAAACAAAGGATTTATTTTGATAGTTGTGATAAAGGGCTGCTCTATTGTTTGGAATTCTTAATAGAAAGAAGTGGTTAGAGAATCACAAAAATCCCCTAGACACGCCGAGCTTCTTTCTAGGTAATTGTCGCACCCAATTACCATCCGAGAGGAAAAGCAAAGCCCGATCGAGGACTCTTATATAAATTAAATTAGTGTTTTATTAAAAGATCATTAAAAACCACCTGTGCGAGTGGTCGATAGTTTCTTTGTTAGTCTAAATAGCAGCCTTAGCAATACCCTAGGCACTTGTGTTTAGGTGAGACACGGCCACGCGTTACAAAGGAAAAATCGTAACGGATTTCTAATCAGCAGCACTGCGAGTTCTGTCTGGGCGCGACGAGGGCAACTGCAAGTGTAGGTGTAGCGGTAGCGTCGCTATCCTTCCGTTTTTCTATAAAGAATAAAAAAAAGCAAATAATTTAGTAAACATTAACAATTCACAAGAGACAACAAATATTTGGAGGGAATTTATTGCTGAAAAAACATACTCGTTTTCGTCCTGCCTTTTGCTCATTTTTCCTCCTTTTATGTCAAAGACGCTTGTGTGTGTGTTGATGGTTGATAAAAAGCATGAAAAAGTTTTGTTTTGGTTTTGGCCGGTAGCCGGTAACTTTAGCTATTGGTAGGGATGGGCAAAGCGACTAACCAACTTATTCTCTAAAATGCGACTTTTAGTGTTTTAAGCGCGTTTTCAGATGTAAGAAGTCCAAATTGTAGGTTAAAATTCAATTTTGAAATCGAATATTTCGACTATTTGATGGAAAATCGACTATTAAGCGGAAAAATCGACTTTTTTCCAACTATTTTCCAACTTTTTGGGGAAAAATTAAATTTTGTCCAAATTTCAATTTTATAAAAAAAAATTCATGGTTTCTGGCGACCATCTACAAATCTCGGACAGGTCATTCTGAGCATTTCTAGCTAGTTTTGGTGAATAGTGATTTTTACCCCCTCACCCCTAGATCCAACCTCGGGACTTAAAAAAAAAATTCATGGTTTCTGGCGACCATCTACAAATCTCGGACAGGTCATTCTGAGCATTTCTAGCTAGTTTTGGCGAACAGTGATTTTTACCATCTCACCCCTAGATCCACCCTCGGGACTTGAAAAAAAAATTCATGGTTTCTGGCGACCATCTACAAATCTCGGACAGGTCATTCTGAGCATTTCTAGCTAGTTTTGGCGAACAGTGATTTTTACCCCCTCGCCCCTAGATCCACCCTCGGGACTTGAAAAAAAAATTCATGGTTTCTGGCGACCATCTACAAATCTCGGACAGGTCATTCTGAGCATTTCTAGCTAGTTTTGGTGAACATTGATTTTTACCCCCTCGCCCCTAGATCCACCCTCGGGACTTGAAAAAAAATTCATGGTTTCTGGCGACCATCTACAAATCTCGGACAGGTCATTCTGAGCATTTCTAGCTAGTTTTGGTGAACAGTGATTTTTACCCCCTCGCCCCTAGATCCACCCTCGGGACTTGAAAAAAAAATTTCATGGTTTCTGGCGACCATCTACAAATCTCGGACAGGTTATTCTGAGCATTTCTAGCTAGTTTTGGTGAACAGTGATTTTTACCCCCTCGCCCCTAGATCCACCCTGGGGACTTGAAAAAAAAAATTCATGGTTTCTGGCGACCATCTACAAATCTCGGACAGGTCATTCTGAGCATTTCTAGCTAGTTTTGGTGAACAGTGATTTTTACCCCCTCGCCTGTAGATCCACCCTCGGGACTTGAAAAAAAAAATTCATGGTTTCTGGCGACCATCTACAAATCTCGGACAGGTCATTCTGAGCATTTCTAGCTAGTTTTGGTGAACAGTGATTTTTACCCCCTCGCCCCTAGATCCACCCTCGGGACTTGAAAAAAAATTCATGGTTTCTGGCGACCATCTACAAATCTCGGACAGGTCATTCTGAGCATTTCTAGCTAGTTTTGGCGAACAGTGATTTTTACCACCTCACCCCTAGATCCACCCTGGGGACTTGAAAAAAAAAATTCATGGTTTCTGGCGACCATCTACATATCTCGGACAGGTCATTCTGAGCATTTCTAGCTAGTTTTGGCGAACAGTGATTTTTACCCCCTCACCCCTAGATCCACCCTCGGGACTTGAAAAAAAAAATTCATGGTTTCTGGCGACCATCTACAAATCTCGGACAGGTCATTCTGAGCATTTCTAGCTAGTTTTGGCGAACAGTGATTTTTACCCCCTCGCCTGTAGATCCACCCTCGGGACTTGAAAAAAAATTCATGGTTTCTGGCGACCATCTACAAATCTCGGACAGGTCATTCTGAGCATTTCTAGCTAGTTTTGGTGAATAGTGATTTTTACCCCCTCACCCCTAGATCCACCCTCGGGACTTAAAAAAAAAATTCATTGTTTCTGGCGACCATCTACAAATCTCGGACAGGTCATTCTGAGCATTTCTAGCTAGTTTTGGCGAACAGTGATTTTTACCACCTCACCCCTAGATCCACCCTCGGGACTTGAAAAAAAATTCATGGTTTCTGGCGACCATCTACATATCTCGGACAGGTCATTCTGAGCATTTCTAGCTAGTTTTGGCGAACAGTGATTTTAACCCCCTCACCCCTAGATCCACCCTCGGGACTTGAAAAAAAAAATTCATGGTTTCTGGCGACCATCTACAAATCTTGGACAGGTCATTCTGAGCATTTCTAGCTAGTTTTGGTGAACAGTGATTTTTACCCCCTCGCCTGTAGATCCACCCTCGGGACTTGAAAAAAAATTTCATGGTTTCTGGCGACCATCTACAAATCTCGGACAGGTCATTCTGAGCATTTCTAGCTAGTTTTGGCGAACAGTGATTTTTACCCCCTCGCCCCTGGACCCACCCTCGCGACTTGGGGTTGAACCAAAAAATTTCATGGTTTCTGGCAACCATCTTAAAATCTCGGACAGGTCATTCTGATCATTTCTAGCTACTTTTGGCGAACAGTGATTTTTTTCGCCTTCCCCCCAAAGAACCAAAAAATTGAAAGTGACTATCAACCAACTATTTGGTTGGAAAGTCGACTAAAAGCCGACTATTTCAAATAATAAATCAACTAAAATAGTAGACTATTTTAAGGTTCAAAACCGACTTTTTTGCCCATCCATAGCCTATTGGTATTGGCACTATTGGTATTGGCAGTGGCAAGGGCAGTGGTAATTAATTTTATTAAGTTGGCGACGTTTGTTTGAGCCGAATAATTTTGTTCAGTTGGGCATCATGTTTTCATCTGCTAATCTGACTTGAGACTTGATCAAAAATGGCCGGAGTCGGAGGATTCTTGTACAATGCTCTTTTTAAAAGAACGTCAACCATTGCATTAACCATCATCGGCGGCACGTTCTTTTTCGAGCGGTCCTTTGAAATTTTGTCCGACACGCTTTACGATAACATCAACCAGGGGGTAAGTTTGAGGTCATTTCATTCAACAGCAAAAATAATTTCTCCTGCACCCCCAAAAAACTAGCTAAAATGTGCATTTTTTCTGTGTGTTTTCCAGAAACTTTTGAATCACAGTAAGTACAAGTATGAGCTCTTCAAAATTTCCATCTACACATGCACACCTAGGCTCCTTTGTATAGTTCTCTTCCAGCCTGCACATGGTAAAACTGCCAATCGATCGATCGAGTTGCTTGCAAGGCTACGTTATTTATGTGTTACAAAACAATAAAGAAAACCATGGTTAAATAAGCTTCACAAATTTTTAATGTGATCATATGTCAAACCATTTTTCTTGTTTTTAATTAGGCAAATTGGAGCCAAAGGTATATTACAAACTGAGCTCATAGTAATTTTATTTTTATCAATTTTATCTCCACACACTAGTTATTTCTTGTAGTTAGATAGTCATGATAAACTAAATTGGTATGAAATAATTTTTTTGTTACAGTCAATTCAAAATTAAGTTTGGAAATTATAATTAATTTTATGTCAGCGAAATTTTTTTTTTCAAAATAGATTGCTAAATCAATGCAGCCAGCCCTTTTTCATGAGAGGGATAAGTATAAAATTTGTACTTAAACAAAGTTCTTTATTATTAAAAAAACATTTAAAAAAAAATATTTCAAATCTATTTTTTCTTGAATATTACTCAATCTTTCTTTTTTTTCTAAATCTACAATCACTTTATTTTCTTATCCGTTTTTAATTAGTTTAACATTCTTATGATTCTCCTTATTATTTTGCAGCTTTTGTTTTTCCCTCGTGAGTTTCGTTTTATAGTCGCGTTGCGTGTGGGATGCCACCGGCGACCGCCTTTATTTCGCTTAATAATTTTCATATAAAATCCAAGGTGCATCCAATTGACGAGATTAGGTACAGGCCTTGCCGTTTAATAATAATTTTATTGGGACACGAGACACGACACTCGGTGCCATAAATTAAACGCAAATTGAAAGCGCCATGTGTGTATAAATGTTCGCGTCGAATAATTATATTGCTAACGAGGCAGTCAAATTAATTTTATAGTTTTATTGCGACTAAAAAGGCAAGGTGTCCGCGAGAAGAAGCACGCACGGTGCATAATAAATTATGCTAATTGCAGATTAATCCGACTCGCGAGCAGCCAGAGAGAGGGACAAACACATAAACTCTGATGGAAATGCCGGGCGCGTGAT